TACAAACTCCTAAAGAAACTTTTTCTATTTTGTTACTTTTTCATCTCCGTCATCCACATTATAGCGGGACCGCGCGTGAAACCCGCTTCTGATTTGCTCAAATACCAGGCCAAACAAAAATGGCGCTGATCAATTTGTGCCATGAATTTTCTTCGATGCGCATTCCAGTGTATATAGAGTTCAGTGAACGCAGCCAAAGATAAAGGCTGCTTTCCTTTTAGGAGACCTACAGCCAATTTTTTCACTTCTAGATAAGTTTTCGATAACTTTATCTAGAAGATATCTCCCAAACGGCCGATTTCTTCATACCTTTTGATAGCTATCCTCTGGATAAATTCCTCTGAGAACCAATAAGGAGAACCAATTTTGGGAGATATCTTCTAGATAAAGTTATCGAAAACTTATCTAGAAGTGAAAAAATTCGCTGCTAGAAGTGAAAAAATTGGTTCTCCTTATTGGTTCTCAGAGGAATTTATCCAGAGGATAGCTATCGAGAGGTATGAAGAAATCGGTCGCTAGTCGACACAAGTCGACACAAGAGTCATTCTGTCTTTGTTTCTCACTGAATACTGAACGAAGACAGAATGACTTTTGTGTCGACTTGTGTCGACTGTGTCTCCTAAAAGGAAAGCAGCCAAAATGACACTCGGATGCATTCGGGTGGGGAATCGGAACACAGCCCGACGGTTACGTTCAGAAAACCTAACGGTTGTGAAATCATCACTTATGATAGGACTATTCTTCAAATTCTGCTTTGATTCTAAAAGTATGATCCAATCAGAAGTGATTATCTCTCAACCGTTGTTCAACTGTTGAGTTGTCTGAATGCACCCAATAGGTCTGTTCTTTTTACCTGAACTGGCTGCACTAGTTCAGAGTTCATCTTTTTCACTCTACATTGGAAGAAGAAAGATAACCTCTGAACTAGTGTAGCCAGTTCAGGTAAAAAGAACAGACCTAATGTAACTCTACTGTGACTGCGTTCTGATATTAACTACCAGTACTGGATCTATAGCCCTTGTGACGTGAAGTATAGATTTTTAGTACTGGCAGTGAATATCGGAACACAGCCTGTGAAAAGCGACGATCGCGGGTCGCGGTGTTGTACAAATTTTTTGTGGCTTCTGCGGCATCTCTCAGATAAAAGAGAGTAAAATAGACACATTGGTTGCAAATACTTAAAAAAATACTTTTCTAATAGTGCATTAAACACCGCATTGAGTAAAATTGCTTCTTCAAAGTGTTTGGTCCAGGTTAGTCAACTGGTACATTAAATGTATATTTTTTAAATCGTTTTTTTGTGTGTATATATTTACATAATATTTAATTTATATAATATAATATATATTGCAAAACCTTTATAAATAAAATTTTATAAATACACATTGTAGGTGTTTTAAGCAGATTTTCTGGTTATGTATTTTATTGGGATGTTTTAGAATGATAAAAAAATTATTTATGATTTAATTAGAATCACAAGTATATTTTAGGTATATTTTCAATGTTTTACTATATACTTGTAACACTAAAACTATTTTTTGTACATTAATTTCAAGAAATATTCAACAATCAATGGATAGTGGTCAAAGAGAATCTCTTCATACTCCAAGACGAGCTCAGAAATGTCTTTTTGCGCCATCCAATAATACTACTAATAACAAAAACATTACTTATGATGCAAATTGTAACAATAATAAAGTAACTGAAATATCTTCAGGAGAAGAGTCAGATTTAGGACCTATGTCACCTCTTGCTCTTACTGATCAAAGTCCGAGTCATGACAGTTCTTCAGGTAGAGAATATATCTCACCATTTACAACACCTGAGAAATCACCTAATTTACATATTTCACATTTATCCTGGGATCGGCTAAAGTCAAGATACAACAGAGAAAATCATATATCACCATTCAGCTCTCTCAAGAAGGTTACTAGAGCTGCAAGATATTCACCTAGATGTAAATTATTTAACATATCTCCAAGGTCATTGCAATTTTCTCCAAGCAAACAGGTAGCATTGTTAACACCAGAACGCTTTAAGATAACAGAGGAGATGGCAAACGAAATAGTACCAGAGACACCTCAAACGACACGAAGCTTTGCCACAGAGATTCAAAATCAAGATATCACGGAAACACCTCGAAAGAGCCGTAGTCTTTTACATAAACAAATGACACCGTTCTGGTTTATAAACAAGACAACTTCATTACCAAAATTACATAGGCGAAAATCTCTTAGTTCACTTGAAACAAGCGAACTAAGAGACTTTTCGCCTAGACAAAAAGAGAACATATTAAAAAGACATGCACAGGATCAGTTGATGACAACTTCGGCAAAATTATTCAAAACGGATGATGCATCTTGCGCACCTAGAGCAAGAGCAGCGTTGTTTCAAGATAGAAGAACTGAGTGCGACAGTTTAAAGAATTTCTCCTTGAGTACTGGAAAATTCTACAGTAGTAATGCGAGAACTGAGCGACCATTTGCTATTAATATCAAGAACAACGATAGTAAAAGGAGGCGAAGTTTGTCTGTACAGAGTAACAAACGTTTGTTAAAAAAGCAGAAATTCGGCAGAATAAACGCTGGCGTATTCCACGGAATCAAAAGGCCGAAGCCTAAAGTACATTCGGAAGTGTCGAAAAACATAAAACAGTATAGTACACAAAACTCTTTATTGCAAAATATAAGCAAAGATACTTCGCCTGCAGAGAGAGCTCAACCAGTAAACATAAGTGTGGAGAAAGTTTCTTCAACGGAGATTAACGAGAACAAGCGATTTTTCAAAACCAATAAGACAATTAGGCATAATGCCGCTACGGTAACAGTGAATAATAAGATCAAATTGAAAGTTACAGACGGTAAAATTGTATTGAATACAAACCGTGCTTCTGCGAATGCATCTAAACTGCAACAGATACAAACCAATATAGATGTTCTCCTGGATGCAACTGATCTAACTGTGGATGAACCAGAAGTTGAAACTACGCTAGAACAAAATAAAATGGCTGATTTGCTGAAAATATTAGAAGATGATTGGCAAGATGATTATGATAAGATGGTAGCATTGCCATGTAGTAGTAATAACAGCAGTAGCGTGATGACTAGTACAATCTCTCCATTAAAACCAGTAATGGTAGTGCCAACAGACTCAATCATGTCTCCAGCTAGCGAGCTCATTAACTTGACCTCAACCATGAATATTAAGGATGTGGATTCTCAAACATATGTTAGAAATCTTTCGCCCAATAATACAAATAACAATGATACTGAGGGATCTAAACGCATGGAGAAAGAATCTGGAAGAAATAAGTATTTCCCCATATTTAATCAGAAATATTTCGCATCCGGCAACATTTTTGAGTACGTTTTGTATTGCCTATGCCATCCAAATCTCATTTTGAAGAAAAAAAAAAAAAAATAAGTTTCTTTTAATTTCTATTTAGAGAGACGAGTAACACAAAACCTAACAAAGCAACAAAAAGAACACAATGGCAATTATCTGCAAAAGGTGGCGGTGCAGATCAGTATCAGTTGGATGTTGGTCAAAAACGTTTCGGCGCCACTCAATGTCCAGAATGCAACATCGTTTATCAACTAGGCGACCCCGAAGATGAAAACGCTCATCTAAATTATCACAACAGCATACATGTTTTAAAATTTCATGTAATGCATTATATTTATCATAAAAAATAAATGTTATGCGTTATATCTATCATAAAAAAGATAGTATGTATTTTCATGATGAAAATTATTTCAGGGATGGAAGAACGAACGCGTCATAATGGAAGATTCTTTCACATCCAGTAGAATAATCTTAGTTGAACCACATGATTCTAAGCAATACTGGAAGAAGATATCGGATATTTTAACAGTTGTAGATAGAGACTTGGGATTATCAAACACGGATATATCGGAATATCAGAATAAAAAGGTATAAAGTATGTGTGTTATTAAATTCAGTTTGGCAAACAACAGGGAAAAAATGTTCAAACTTTGCATCTTGCAGATTTATTTGTATATACGCGAGAAAACTATCCTCGGAGTATTAGTAGCAGAATCTATTACGAAAGCGCATCGCATGATTCCCGATTTAGTTGAACTAGACTGTTGCACCGCCGAAAGCACACCTACAAAGTGCGGTATAAACGTCGTATGGACTGCGATGAGTCATCGCAAACAGGGTATAGCCACTAAACTTGTCGATATCTTAAGGTAAATTTTTGTTAAAATATTGTTTATATTTTCATATTGATATATTTTACTGAATTATATTAATATACCGACTTTTTCCCTGTTTTAGAGCAACATTTTTTTATGGTTACATGATGACGCTAGATGATATAGCATTCTCGATACCAACTCCAAGCGGTAAAATCTTTGCTGAGAAGTATTCTAAAACACGAAATTTTAAAGTTTATAATTAAGTTTATAATAAAATATAGTTTATAACTATGTTTTCTTCTAAATTAACTGAATTTCAACCGTTTGTTATTTTTCCAAATAGTCTCAAATACTGATTTGAGTTGTTGAAGTATTTTTTTTTGTGATTATACGTATTTTTTGTAATAACTTGTATTTTCACTTCGCTTTTATCAAAAAAATGTGCTACTAAATGCAATGTTTAATATATGGTTCATATCACATATATATACTATAGATTTTCACTAACACTTAAAAATAAGGTGAAAATATAGGCTAATGTCTTATTATATTTTAGTATCAATATTTTTCAATTTATATGAGATGTACTACACATAATATAATATGGATTTGCATAATATATAGATTTTCTTTGGCATTCAAGTACTTTAAGCGCCAGTTTGTTTTTATTTTATATTTAAAGCTCCTCACACAATTCATTACAGTTATCTTGGATTATATCATCAGAAACGAGAATTTATTCTTAAATTTGCCGCACTTACGTTAAAATAGAAAAGTATTTTAGTACAAATTCACTTTTAATCAATAAAATATTGAAAAGATGAATATTTTATTTATCTTTTCAGCTACATTTATTCATCTTTATAGCTAGCATTATTTTACTTTAGCGAGAATGCTGGCATGCAATTGATTGATTTGCTTCAAGAAGATCGGCAGCTTTTCTCCAAAATGTTGAATTTTGTCAACGTAACAATTATGCATATATAGAACCTATATGTTGTGCAAAGTTTCCGAGTTTGTTACTGGCCATTATAGTGGCCAGAGCGGCCTTCTAATGATTCATAAATTTGCAATTATTGGTACATTAAAAGTAAATATAACAAATGAGAAAAATGTATTAAATAAACTCAAATGTATCGCAAATGCAACATACATAGCTTAAATAAACAAGTTATGAGAGTGTAAAGTGTTGATAGTAAAATCATGAAGTGTAGAATAAGTGTTTTCTCTTAAACGTTTTGATCAAATTGTTATTCTGAGACATCTTTAGACTTATTCATTTAAATTTTATTATATATATTGCAGTTCTACTTGAAAAATCTTCTGCTTTAACTTATTTACTGTGCCAAATAAAAATCTATGCTTTATGTCACATGTACTATAAATTTCCAATAATAGGGTAGCGATATTTACTACAGTAAATATTGGAACACAACCATGATCTACATCTAATACAGCTGAAAGTATGTGAAATTATAGGAAAAAATTTGTTTATTTATCCTCATAGTTAAGCTTTTTTTTTTTTACAAATAAATGTCTTATTTAACTGGAAAAATCTTGTACGTATATCTGAGTAAAAATAAAAGCAAACTATATCCTGAACTAACATATGTTATGTACGTAGAAATGTAACAATACAGTCAATTTGGCTTTGTCCTGCCAAAATGAATAAAAAAAACTAAATATAAATGTATTCAAAAATTTATCTTTTAGTCGTATACTTCACTTGTATGTGTATGTCGTAAATAGTATATAAAATTATTAGAGACCTCCCCTTATATAATCCGAAATGACTGTAGCAAATATTCTGAGGAATTTTAAAATAAGAATTTGTTTGTTGTTTTAGATTCTAATATTAATCAATTACATTAATAAAAATTATAGCATTTACGACATAAAAGTGAAATATTCTACTATATTATAAATTTTTTAGTATATGTAGTTGTACAAAAAAAAAATTACTTTAGACGGATCAAAATAACTGTGTCTAAATTCTATCTTTGGTTGTCTACTAGTATCGGTTACCATATCTACTACTTCTACCTCTGAATCGATCCCCTTTTTTCTCTTTCCATGCTTGATATCTTTCAGCCATACTATATAACTCTCCGGGTACTTCCTAAAAAAACAGCATATAATCTAATTTCTAATTTCAAAAAAATGTGGAAAAATAATTAAACATCTGCTTTGCAACTGACTTGACAAGCCTCTTCGAGTATTTTGATCAATTTTTCCGCATGACTCCAATCACTTCTTGTCATATATGTAATAGATTCTCCTGTACGCCCGGCACGTCCTGTACGTCCAACTCTATGAACGTACTCTTCTATATCTCGCGGAAAGTCATAGTTCAATACATGTCTGAGGTACAATAAAATAATAAATTGCAATAAAAATAATCATTACTACTGTTGTGGTATCAATATATGCATAGAATTACTCACGTAATATCTTCAATATCGATTCCTCGACTAGCCACGTCTGTTGCGAGAAGAATTCGAATTCTTCCGGACTTTAGATCGCCCAGAGCTTGTTCTCTATCTGCTTGCTCTCTGTCACCGTGAATGCTATCACATTCAATACCTAAACAAGCCAGGTCACTGGCGACATGATCGACTCTAGCTTTCTTACCAAAAAACACCATTACCTTATCTAGAGGACCCATCTCACGAAAGAATTGATACATCTACGTTAAAGAAAATATATATTGTTAATACATGTCTCTCTAATCAACTTCCAGTAACATATATATTAATTTAAAAAATATAGTTTTATTTTCGCAATTTAGAAGAATAATATTAAAATTTTGTATTATAAACAATTTCATGCGTTTTCACAAAGAACTTCTATATACTATTTATTATAAAAGACGCTCAACAAAGAAAGAAAAGGAAATAATAATTGATTGTTTGAAACTGTTTAAAAAATAAGTTTTGATAATTTATTTTAAAGAGTTACTAACCATATCGGACTTTTCTTCTTCGGATATTACATATACTTTTTGTGTGACGGTATGAACAGCTGCTAAATCAAGCGATCCGACATACACTTGAATAGGATTTTTCATATATGACTTGACTAAGCGTCTAACACCTTCGGGCCACGTAGCACTAGTAAAATGAAAATTCGAAGCATTATAGTAAAATCAATGTCGTATTATACAAGTAAACATTATACAGCAGAATTTTGCAACATAATTCTAGTTTGCAATAAGTCTAATAAAGTAATAATTTGGTAAATACATACCTTGTCATAACGGTTTGTCTGTCTGGCCGTACATCCAGCAGAGTTTTACGAATTTGCGGTTCAAAACCCATGTCCAACATGCGATCCGCTTCGTCAAGTACAAGATACGTCACGCCTGATACATCCAACACATTGGCTTGCACCAAGTCGTTCATTCTTCCAGGAGTCGCAATTACTATTTGCACGCCTTTTGTTACAATGTCGATTTGTTCTTTGCGATTTCCGCCACCGTACACGCACACTCTAAAATAATTTTCAATTAGATATGTGCAGTCGGCTCAACCAATTCCCGCACCCTTCAATAAACAAATCATTAAGTCGATTATATGTTGTAAAAAAAAAAAATAAAAAAAAATAAAAAAAAATAAAAAAACTGAGTGAAAGAGAGATAATATCTCAAACGCATAGAAGCCCATAAAAATAAGAAGAGTATACAAAATTCTCTTACGCTTTGATATCGTGATAGGAGTATTTGTTCACTTCTTTTTCAATTTGTAATGCCAACTCTCTTGTTGGTGCCATAATGAGAACATTCGGTCCAGGTCGCTCGTTACGTGGAGTCACTTGTCCATCGATGTGAATGAGAGCAGGTAATAGAAAAGCAAGAGTTTTTCCTGAAATTAAAAATAATCTTGTATATATTTTACACACGCACACGCACGTACCCACCTATCCACCCACCCACACACACACACACACACACGCGCGCGCGCGCGCACACACACACCGTACAAATAGTAGTTTTTATAAAATAAGAAGTAAACCTGTTCCGGTTTGTGCTATGCCAATGAGATCTTGGCCGCTCAGTAGAACAGGCCATGCTTGACATTGTATAGGACTTGGTTTTACAAACCCTTGTTTCTTTATTTCAATGAGAATGTCAGGATAATGCTACGTCATAAACATAAAAATATATATTGCATTTGTATGATTTCATTGTCGAAGCAATAGATATTCAAGTTATTGAGATTACTGTATTACTTGGAAAGCTTGTTCAAAAGTTTCAATAGGATTCGGTAGTTTTGATATATTTGTGTTATCTTCCTTTTCGTCACAAAATCGATCAACTTCGATGTTATTGTTGTTTTTTCTGATTTCCTTTACTTTCCAGGATGTCATTTTAGCAACAGCAGGATCTTCTTTATAGAAGTCTTTTATAATAGGAGGCAAAGCTGCCAACCTTCGTCTTCGATATTCTTCCTAAAAAATCATTTCAAGCGGATTAATATTCTTAAAACACAATTATCGCAAAAACATCAATTATCAAGATTATTAATATATGTTACTAATATATATGTATACTTATTAATATACTTTAGTAATATATTAGTATTGTATGTAGTGACTTATTGTTTACTAATGAATATTGTATGAAACATACATATTCTTCACTAGCTTTTTGCCAATCAATATTTGCACATCTTGCCATAAGTTCATCTTGCTGAGCCTTCTTATATTTTTCTGCTTCTTCTCCTTCTAGTACAAGAAAGTCACCAAATATTTTTTCAGATAACAATTCTTCTATTAAGGTTTTGGCTCGTTGTTGTGCTTCTTCTGTACCAATCAATCTAACAGCCGTTTCCCCTATATGTTCAGGATCCATCTCATCTACTGGTACACTTTCAACCTAGAAAAAAAAACTATTAAATATTTGGTTGAGAATATTTTCCATAAAATATATAACTGTGTCATTACTCACTTTAATTCTAGCATTGCTTTCTGTTTGCAGAGCTTTAATTTGGGTACCTCCTTTCCCAATAAGTTTCCTAACATTATCATTCTTCACATATATAACTAGCCCTTCTAAATTTGATCTATTATTTCTTCTACTGGTGTTACTGTCATTAAATTTTTTTCCAGAATATTCTCTTTGAATATGTTTTTCTGTTCTATGACTATATGTGCTTGGTTCATTCCAAGATTCTGCTTGAGGATTATTCCAGTTCTCCTGCTGAGAAATATCCCAGTTCTCTCCCTGAGAGATATCCCTTAGTTCCCCTAAGTTTTTTTGTGGAAAGTTATCCTGAGGCTTATCCCAAGATTCTTCTTTTTGATTATTCCAAGAATTATCAAAAGATCTATTGTGATATCTCTGAAACTGACTGTCTCTGCTTCTTCCTTGATAATTCCTATTATTACTTGTATTGTTTCTATTTCTTCTTTCATATGAATTATATTCCTTAGAATTTGTTTCCCATCTTCTGGAGGACATTGTATTATTTCGTCTGTTAAAGCAATAAATTGTTAAAGCAATAGAAATTATATTCAAAATATTCTAAAATCTATAAAAGACAAAAGATCAGTACAAAATTACAACACACACACACATACACAAATATATACATATATATATTTTAGGCATATGGGCAGATTGTTGAAGCCCTGAACCACAAAAAAGTCAAGATCATGTTTATATATATATATATATATATCATATGCCAAAAATATATATAAACTCTTTGTAAACATAATCTTTCTAAACATTAATATATATTTTGTGTGAAAAAGCCAGCTAATTAAGCTAAGACATGATAAATACATCATAGAATCATTATTAATATGTTGTTTTTTACATATATAACAGAATTTACTAAACATTAACATCTTATAATTTATTATATTTACATCTTGAAAATACAACAAACAATAGGTAAATACTTATTTCTCCAAAATACTGGAAAGAATCATAACTTTTATGCTTTATTCTTTAAAATTTTTATCTTTCCAGTTTAGTTTATTTCAGTTTTAAGAATGGTAGCCTATTGTTAAATAATATATCAGATTTAATGCATATTTAGCAGTCAACTCTACATATCTATTTTTAATTACAAAGAAATTGCATGTACTAAAATGAAATATATATACATAATAATGTATTTATTTACTTACATATAAATTAATTACTTGTTGTAAGTTCACATATATTATATACAAGTATATAATGAATTTATATGTAAGTATTCATTTACTTAATAAATAAGTAAATACATATAATTAATAATTTATATGTATAAGTAAATGAATACTTACATATAAACTAATTACTTGTATGTGAAAAACAATATATACTGTATAAATATTTAAAAAAATAAAACAGAGTACAGAAAAAGATCACACAAGTTTGAATAAGTATTATTATTAATATATTAATAATATTCCATCATTTTTGGCTTTGTACGTTTCTCTAAAACGTTATTGATAAATTCACTACGTGCGATGTATTTTCCGAAAAAAAAAACCCACAGACGCTTCATAGTTTCTTTTCAGAAAAAACATCGAAATATTCCACTTGAACTATTTATTCTTTATATATATTTACTTTTTCTTCTTCTGTAAAGGAATATATTATTTCATGCGTGGTGTAGCGACAAGATGTATCGATTCTGTATTAAAACCACATATGTAAATACTAATACTAATAATTTACATAAAAAACAAATACGTATATCTCAATAATTCAACAATATCTAATTAACTCATGTATTCTGTTTAATGATATAACTTTTGTATTATATACCTTTACTTTATCTAATGGATGCTTCAAAATTAGGTTTTTTTGGTTGTAACTTACTTCAACGTGCAACATAAAACTGTTTCGTTCCATGAAGTAAGAGTAAGGAGATCGAACTCCGTGATATAAAAGTGGTCCCGATTCTGACGCCTAAAGCCCTTTGCACAATGGACGGAATAGCGATAGCGATAGAAATAACAAAAGTTTTAAAAAGTTTATATTTAAAAATAAAGGTAGGAACAGCGGAATCTAACATACAAAACTACACATGTATCAATGCAGATCAGAAAATCGGAATAAGCAATAGCGATAAAATT